TCCTGTTCGCTTCAAGCTGCCTGGCTGCCGGCCGCCATCTTGGCTGGCAGTTAATTTGCATATCGCCCTGATTAGCCAATGGGAAGGGTAGCGGAGGTATGGCTAATTACCATGTTTCTCTTTTATTAGATAGGATGGCACTCCAATCCAATAAAAATTAAAAACAAAACAAAACAAACAAAAACCCCCATAGCATTTGGTTTAGACATAATGAAAGGCTTGGCATTTTCCAAACAAGCTTGGTCCTATGTTTCCCATGTTTCCCTTCTTTAGATCCCATGGTAGCTTCCACCGTACCTCACTGTAAGACTCACTACAATGAATTAAGGGCCAAAATATTGTAATGATAACTCTGACAGAATTTTAAAATAAGTATCAGTAGTAGCAATTGCAAATTAACAGGGCATGTTGTAAGGCAAGCATGTCAAATTCAAAAGCTAACTTGGAACAAATAAACAAGGTTTAAGTTTATGTGGGCCGCAAAAACAAAACAAAAGCTTCAATTTTCATAGAAATGTAGGTTTGTTTCAAAAAGTATAGTATAAAAAAAGAACAAGAGCAATGATAAAATTAATGTTTTCTTCCTGACACTTGGAATTTCTTCTCTGCTACTATCTTTCCTACTTTGGGGGAAATCTTGTTCGCCGTGATTACTTTCAAAACTGACCCAAGGTGAATGTCAGTAATTCTGGATCTGACAGGAGACTTATTTCCTTTCATAATTGTAAATAACTGCTCACACCGTTATATTGGCTAGGCTGCAAAAATATTCATTGTGGGCCACGTGCGGCCCACGGGCTGTGAGTTTGATATGCTTGTAAGGGTTGTTATTGAATAATCCTGATAAGGACCTATGTTAACAGTAAAGGATAATGATGTCAGGTTTGGGGGATGCTGAAGTAGCTGGAAATTAAGATCCTGAGGAAAAGGGGTCTGTGGAGAGAATGAGCTCCAAAAATCTGCCCAGGGTTGCACGAGTCTTTAGTCCAGAATAAGCTGCGCCTGCAGAGGAGGAGATTCTGAAACCTGGCGGAAGGAGGCTGATGGGAGGCAGCACGTTGCTTAGAGAAGCTGGACTTCTGACCTGCCAGATTGAAGAGACCTTGTTGAGCACACCAGGAATTCAGTTGAGACCCCAGAAAGGTCAAACCTCATAAAACCAATAGGGTATTCTAGCCCAACAGTAGGGGCTACTATGGACCTATACTCCCAAATCCTAAAATCAAATTTCAACAGATGAAACTCACCTGCCAATATATTTACTACCTTCTGTAACAAAACTCAGTGAAAAGAAGGGAGAGCATATTCCACTCCCTCTCACTAAAAGGATGCTTATATTCTTTCAAAGTTGGTCAATGAGTAATCTATCAGTTAAAGAAGCTGGGAGTAATACACAATCACCATATTGATGAAAATACCATTAGAGGCAGAGTGGCCCAGAGGGTACAAAGGGTTCTTCTTCCTATTTTTGCCATAGCTATTGATTTATTGTAAAATTAGGAGCAAATTTAATTTGCTGTCTTCAGGATGTGACATTATTGAGGACAAGAATCTTAATAATATAACAAAGTCAATATAAGGCAGTGGATTTTTCTGCCCTTTAATTTCAATTCTGTATCTCCAGTATCTAGATCAATGGCAGACACTAATATTTGTTGAATTAATAGCATTTAAAAAAAATATTTCAGGCAGGGAGACTAGGAAAAAAGATGCTGCAGTATCTCCAGGAAGAATTGATGATGGGTGAGACTGGGTTGTCAAGGCTGTGCTGATAGAGAGAAACGGAAATATCTGAGAAGTGTTTAGAAGGAAGAATTTACTGAACTTGTTTGGCATTGTCCAGGATGAATCCCAGGCTGTGCCTTGGACATACATTCATATATGCTGGTGCTGTGCACTGAGACAGGGGAACCAGGAGGAACAGCGAGTTCAGTGCAGGTTTTAGGGAGGGAAAGATGGAGATTTAGTTTTAGATATTTTGTGCAAAGTAACTGTAGTACAGCTAAGTGGATACATCTAGTAGACTGATGGTTACATAGGACTGAAGTTAAGGCGAGAGGTATGAATTTCAGATATGTCTAAATTCTAACAGCAGATGGAGTTTAGGGTCAAACTGGAAATATCATGAGCTTAATACTTTGCACTTTAATACTTATTATAGTCCATTTTATTAGAATTCATTATTTCATATATTAATCTCCTCTATCATCCACACTTCAGCCCTTACCTCCTGATAAAAACTGTCAAAGAAGGATTCTGATTTACAAACGGGAATTAGATTCCTATCCCATTGGGCCAATCACTATTCAGGGAACTGAAGAACAATGATGAATCCAGCTTGATTCACCCCTGTAGAGGAGCAGGCAGTACAAAGGGGACAGTGATGTGACTGGAACGTCCCCATTAGAATCCCATGGTGCAAAGGGAAAGGATCAATTCCCCAAAAGAAGAAAAACAAATGTCTCCTCCAGATGATGTTGGTAATGAACAGACAAAACAAGGGAAGCCACATCCTGTAACCTAAACTATTACTACTTGTATTGGAGGTGTTGTTTCTTTAAAGATTCTGCTGGCTCCCAAGCTAAAATCCCAATTGATTTAATTGAACACTGTACATAGTGACATCTGGGAGGATGAGACTGTGGAGAAAGTAAAGGGAACTTTATAAGCCTTGTTCCATTTATTTGCTCACCATGTAATTCTAATATTCTGTATCAGATTCTGGCAAAGCTCTGTAACATTTTACATACTGATTCTCTGGCCGAAGTTCTACAGTGGCTGCTTCACGCAAGTTCAAAAGGTGAGATTAACACAGAGCCTGTTTCTCCCTTTGGTATGGATGGCAGTAGCATAGCCGTCCAAGTTCTAGATTCTAACAGCTCTGCCAATTCCCCACCCAAACCATCTCCTAGCCTCCTTTAGGCCCTTCTTGGCCTATTCCATGAAAACACATGTCAGTTTTAATGGGACAACCATAAATAGCATAGAGCAGCTATCCTCGCACCAAGCTGGTTATCAGACTGACGGAGGCCAAACATCTGAGGTTGGTGAAACCTGAGAATTTGCATTTCTAACAAGTCTCCCCAGATGATGTCAATAATGCTGGTCTGGGACAACTATTTGAGAACCATTGCACTAATCAAAGTTCGGAAATACCCATGTGCCAAAACAGACTAATATTTTAAGTGGGAGCATTTTGGAAATAGTTCCTTACCCCAGGAATTCAAGACTACTTGGCAGGCAATTGAGAAGTATTTGGGGGTAAGAAGTCTCTAGTTATTCTCTATTATATTTCCTTTTTAAGAATGTAACAAAAAATTACACAAGAAATAAGTGCTTATTGTTAGGGGCTAGGGAGGAGCCAGAAAAAAATAAAAGAAGACCAATAATAATAAATAAAACTATCACAGACATCATTTCAGTGAACAGTGTATTTCTTTCTAGATATGCTTGTAACTATGATTTAACTATCCATCTGTAAGATCACATTGTACTTATTGTTTTTAGAGGTACACTTTTTCTTTTCTTTTTTCATGTGGCAGTGGCCTGTAAGGCTGAGTTTTGTACTCAATATTTGAAAACTACTCCACTGCCATTCATGGGCAATCCCTCAGCGAGTTAACTACTCTGGGCACTACAGTACCACAAACTATCAGAAACTAGGTTGTTGTAAACCAACTTCTCTGCAGAAATGTCGATTCACACATAGGGGCCCACCCAGAAAACAGATCAGCAGCCTTTACACCGGCGTGCTGGATAAGAAAAGTAGTTCAGTGTGTCTAGTAGACAGTGATCATTACAACCTTCATGCCGCTCTCACCCCTTTTGTTAAATCAGAGAAAGAGTGGGTCTCAGCTTTGATTCATGCTGAGCTGTCTGAGATAAACTTGTTGACTCGCCCTCTGAGAAGAAGCGTCTCCGCGGAACCAGCGGTGGTGACTGGGAAGCTAACCAAAGTTAAATCTCCTTCATATTCACCTGTGAAATCAAAAGTGCTGACCAGATCTGGAGAAGGACATCAACTGGCCAGGTAATTAGACACCCTGGCCATGTAGAGAGCATATGTACATGAAGACTTCGAATTCTCTTTTCATAATATTTAGAAACATGCTGAGTTTTTAAGACTCCTCTTTATCCAGTAAATGACAACAGTGTGTATTTAGTTTTGTAGGGTTTTTTCACTTCCATAAATGTAATGAAAATCACTCTAAATACTATTTTTAATATATATATTTTATTGATTTTAGAGAGGAAGGGAGAGAGAGTGAGAGAGAGAGATAGAAACATCAACGATGAGAGAGAATCATTGGTCAGCTGTCTCCTGCACGCCCCGTACTGGGGATCGAGCCTGCAACCCAGGCATGTGCCCTGATCAAATCTGGAACCCTTCAGTCTGCAGGCCGATGCACTATCCATTGAGCCAAACCAGCTAGGGCTAAATACTATTTTTCAGAGCATTTTTGCAGAGGTTAGGTCTTCCTTACCCAATAACCTTTCTTTTTGAGCAAACTTTTCTTTAAGGCAAGCATGTCAAACTCAAAGGCTAACAGAGGCCAAATAAAAGAGGCATGCGGCCCATGGGCCACGAGTTTGACATACTTGCTCTAAGGGCAAGAGTAGCCACCCAAAATCTAAGAAAATATAGTACATTTTTTTAGTTTACTTAAAAATAAAAGCTATAAAGAAAATCTAAATTGTATTGTTATTGTATAGCTTGTTAAATGCGTATCAAAGAGGCATCACTTTTTTGTATAAACAATGGAAGGTTAAAGTACATTGCTTCACTTGATTATCTTTGATGTACTCCTGGGGGTTGTCAGAGGGAAAAATAACTATTAAGGGGATTGGGAAATATTTCAATAGAAATTATTTCTAAATCTTATAATTTCAATGACAAAAGAAAATGCATCTTTGTGTATAACATCATGATGAAAGAATGCGGTAAGATGTTATTTAAGCTGGGAGAGAGAATCTGGTTGCTTTAAAATTAAAAGTTGAATAAAACTTAAATTCAGAGACAGTAAATATTCAAAACACATAATAGGTCACTTTTAAAAGCATTAAGACAGAGGAGAATTTTGTAGCATTGCAATTTGTCTCCACCTTAAAGTTTCATAAAATTAGAAATCGGCATGCCCTGACCGGTGTTGCTAAATGGTTAGAGCATTGTCCCAGACACTGAAGACTGGTGGGTTCAACTCCTGGTCAGGGTATTCAATCACATATGGGAGGCAACTGATTAACAGATGTTTCTTTCTCTCTCTTTCTCTCTCTCTCTCTCTTTCTCTCTCTCATCAATAAAAAAAAATATACTCAGGTGAGGACTAAAAGAAAAAAATTAGAAACTGGGAGGTTGTCAGGGTCAGTCTCTCTACCTTAGTACTAGTTTAGATATTTACCCAAAGTCAGAAGAATTTTTCATTGGAAAATACATTTAATACTATCTACTTTGATATACAAAGAATTGGAATAGGCTATTTAAGACAACATTACTTAGCTTATATGATGATAATGCACCCTATAGAAAAATACTTATTTGTATCTGTGAATTTCATTTTCTTTTTCTCCAATTGATTTAGAGTGTCAAGTCAAGGATCTGAAGAAAATAAGGTGGTACCAAAAGGTTAAGTATAGTTTGTGATAATTACTGAATTGTTATAAGGAGACCAGTAAGTATCTCGCTAGTAAACTACAATAGTGACTTCCAGCTACTCTAAGGGGCAGCATCTGCTGAACTTCTCATAGAGATACATTTGACATAAATTTGTATTGAAAGGTTAAGTGCCTCAGGGACAGACACTCTTTGAGAAGCAAGACAGAAGGACACAGGGAACTCTAGGTGACAGGAGGAGCCCTGGATTGACTTAACAAAAAGACAATGATCTCAGAGTTTTGGTTCTTCACAGCTTAATTGTCATGGAGCCAAATGATTTTCACTAGACACAAAGTCAACCAGAGAAAACAGTAAAATGGCAATCAGCCAGCAGATGCCCCATGAGATAGCTGGTATATGAAAGAGAGGAGCAGTTTTGTGTCCCTCCCAGAAGCCCAGCCCCAGCCTATGATTTGGACCACGAAAACTCAAGAATTGTGGAAAGACCTACATTGATCCAAAATAGCCACACTGAAATATCCCTGTGGGATTGGTAGCTCCTAGCCTTAAAACAAGCACAGTAACAATGACTATAGAGCAATGGCTATAAACTATGTCTACAAGCCTCAAACAAAAGTCTGCCTTATTATTTCTACAAGTTCCTCTTAAACCAGGAATGACATGGTAATTAATTAGAATTCCTGGAGGTCACTCTGGATGCTAGCGGGTTCTGTTGGAGTTAACCAGCCCAAAAGGGGCTCTATCTGCTAATAGGCAATAATAAGTGTAATTTAGAAGTTAGAAAATATCCCCTTATTCTGACATGCCAAGGATTGTCTATTGTATGTCTTCTTCTATAAAACTCTTCACCACAGGACTACAAAATCCTGATAGTGATGTTTCTATTATTCAATTTTATGTTTAACCTGTTGGTCCTAAATCTATTTTACCCTGTATAGATATTTGGAAAACTTTTGTATAAGAATCCCTAAATCATACACCTGTGTGTCTAGTATTGATATTTAGCATCTCCCCAAATCCTTATTCTTCCTTGGATGTGACCATGTAGGCCTTGTAGAAGTCTCATGAGTGCAAATAACTTGTTTTAACAAACTTGTCTATTTTTTGTCTATCAAGACAATAGATCCTTCTCCTTTTTCTCATTAGTCCCATGATGCCCATCAAAAGCCCTAATTTATTCTTACCAAAGTAATGTTTAATTCTAAGAGCAAAGAACATACCTACATGCAATAGAACAAATAACTCATTCAAGATGAGCAGATGATACAAAAGATGAGAATAGATTATTTTATGAATTTGGAGTCTATTTGGTTCACCTAAACTTCATATAGATTTTTTTGTATGTTATTTGCTACTAAAACATGGCAGAAGCTGTGTCCCATGTCTCAATTATGATCTTATTTCGATTTTTTTCTATTTTAGAGTCTGAGCACAAACCTGCAATGTTTATAAGAAGAAATAAGATGACAATCCCAGTTACAGAATATTTCAGCAAATCAAACTCTCCTCCCAGGCCTAAAACTCAGGAGAGCATATCAACAAAACCAATGTCAGCAAGGAGTATACACCAAGAATACAATCTCTCTCCCCAGAGAACATTTTCTCCTTTAACATACCAAAGGTCGAAAATCTAAACTAGGCTAATTCTCTCATACACATGAGCTTCACTTTGTTACAAATTATTATTTTTTAAATATTTTGGTATCAAGGAGTCAATAGCTCCTCTAACCTGATGGCACATGTAAATCTCAAAGCACCAGCGTATAATGCTACTAAACAAATATTACTGGAGATAATATTTCTATTTGTAGTTAATTTTAACACCATTTGTAAAAAAAAAAAATGTTTATTTATATACTATATTTCCAATCGGGCCCTGATGTTAGAAAAATCATCCATAATCAAATTTAAGCAGTTATGATTCCACACCTGCTGAAAACTCTGACAGAGACACAAACAGAATTTTAACATCTGAGCTTATTTCTATAATCTACAGTGTTAAAATGTTGTTGGGATATTATGAAAAAATGCTCACCTCCTTCCAAAAAGGAAAAGCTATAAAAATTATCCCTAATTTATAAGCCAGAAAGAAACTAGTTCCCACTCATTTCTAATTGTGAATGATATTAACAAATTTCCTAATATTGAGCATTTGTATTTTTCCTTAAAATAAAACCACTCTTGGGCCATGGTTATTATTCTATCAGTGTACTGCTGGATTATATCTACCAATTAGCCATTTTATTATTTAGAATGTTTGCTTGATATTTAAAAGAGATAATATAAATTGTGTGTCTGTACATGTGTTCATGTGTGTTTGTAATCTTAATATTTACATTATGTCAAGAATCATTCTAAATACTTTAGATATAGTAACTTTTTAAAAATATATATTTTTATTGATTTCAGAGAGGAATGGAGAGGGAGAGATAGAAACATCAATGACGAAAGAGAATCACTGATCGGTTGCCTCCTGCAGACCCCACACTGGAAATCGAGCCTGCAATCCGGGCATATGCCCTGACTGGGAATCGAACTGAGACCTCCTGGTTCATAGGTCAATGTTCAACCACTGAGCCACGCCAGCTGGGCTAGATATATTAACTTTTAATTGTCACAATAACTATTTTAGGTAGCTACTATTGTTATTCTCTCTTTTAAAAAAATAAGAAAACTAAGGAATACAGAGTTCTACTCATTGGGATGGGATATACAGTGGTAACAAGTATCATCTTTCAAATACAATAGAAGTTTATATCTCACCTAGGAGTTCAAAGTGTGTGTTTTAAGTCAGCAGATGACTTTGCTTTATTGGTGATCCAGAGGTCTGGGATCCTTCCATCTTGTGGCTCAACCATCACCTACGGTTTCACCAACTGCATCCTGCTGGCAAAAGAAAAGGAGAGTGGAAGAAAGTATAAATTTCCTATAGCTGCTGTAATACATTACCACAAACTCCGTGGCTTAAACAAACACAAACGTAGTTTACAGTTCTGGGGACAGAGGTCTGCAATGGGTCTCAACGGGCTAAAGTCAAAGGATTGGCAGGGCTACATTCCTTCTGGAGGCCATAGGGGAAAATATATTTTCTTTGCTTTTTCCAACTTCTAGAGGTTACCCACACTCCTTGGCTCCTGGCTCCCTTCTATCTTTAATGCCAACAATGGCTGGTGGATTATTTCTCAGAACACATTACTCTGACACTGAGTCTTCTGCCCCCCTCTTCCTGTGATTACATTGGGCCTGGATGTTTTCTAGGTTATCCAAGATAATCTTAAGGTCAGATAATTAGCAATTTAATACTCCCTTATTATATAACATCACAGGGGTTAGAATCTTTGGGGGGACCTTCTGCTTTCCACAATGAGAGTATATCTGCTGAAAGTCTTGGCTTTCAAATGGCAAGCATCAATTCCAATCATATTCCATGATTAAGAAATAGTCTAACTGAAAGGGGCTGATAAAATTCTTAAGTAGCAATCATATTCCAGTACTATACTATAGTCCAGGGGTCCTCAAACTACGGCCCGCGGGCCACATGCAAATACAAATATTGTATTTGTTCCCGTTTTGTTTTTTACTTCAAAATAAGATATGTGCAGTGTGCATAGGAATTTGTTCATAGTTTTTTTTTAAACTATAGTCCGGCCCTCCAACGCTCTGAGCGACAGTGAACTGGCCCCCTGTTTAAAAAGTTTGAGGACCCCTGCTATAGTCTATGGAAAGGAAAATTGAATTTTGGTGGACAGTTAACTTTCTCGAACACAAGGGTTTAGTGAGTGTTTCAAAATGTGGCTAGAATCTATGTGCTTAACCACTAGGCACTACTGATATGTATCAAGACCATACCTCATAAAATTTATTAGCATAAGTTTTTAAGGTGGGATTAATACCTGGATGCAATGATGGGTCAATGTATGAAAATCAATCAATGTAATGCCACATTAACAAAATGAATAGCAAAAATCTCACCATCATCTCAATCAATGCAGAAAAAGAATTTGACCAAATTTAACACCTTTTCATGATAAAAATACTCAATAAACCAGGACTAGAAGGAAATGACCCTAACGGAAAAAGCCATACATGAAAAAAACACAGCTAATATTGTATTCAATGAGGGAAAGACTGAAAGTTTATCCTCTAAGATCAGGAACAAGGCAGAGATGCCCACCCTCACCACTTCTATCCAACAAAGTACTAACAGTTTTATCCAGAGCAATCAGACAAGAAAAAAAAGACATACAAATTGGATAATAAGAGGAAGAAAATAATTAGTGTCCATACTACCCAAAGAGTTCTATAAAATAAATGCAACCCCTATCAAAATCCCAATGACATTTCCTACAGAAATAGAAATGCCATCTTAAAATTTGTATGGAATCTCAAGGGACAATGAATTAAAAAAAAAAGTTGGAAGCTTTATATTCTCTGATTTCAAAACATATAACTTGTTCCATATAACTTGAAAGAATGTAAATTTAAAAGCGGTTGGACACAAAGTTGTAGATATATTAAAAGAAACGTGTTAATTTTGTTGTTCAAATCTTACATATCCTATCTAATTTTTACCTTGGTGATTGATTAATCAATAATAAAGATGTGTACTAAATTTTTCCAACTATTATGGTAGATGTATAAGTCAGTGGTCTTTGTAATTCTGTTTATTTTATGCATATATTTTGAAGTGATGTGTAAACATAGTTTAGAATTTTATAATTATCATGACCAACTTTATCTCTAACACTGCTTTTTACAACTGACATTAAATAACAAGTTCTAGGTGGTAAGGTTTTTCTCCTGTTCCACAAATTTATTTTCTACTTTAATGTATTATTATCATAGAAGTTGCTTATATTATTTCTACTTTTAAACTTATTTTCCTTTGTGGAT